CTATCTCTTTGCAAGTGCTTTCATTTCTTTCGCAATTGGGTGGCATTGTCTTTCATTGTGAATTTGCACTTTGGAAATGACCAGGATCGTAACAATTGGTATCGGAGCGGACTTACTTGCTGGCGAGAGGTGTTAGTCACCCTAAACCTAATTCCGAGTTAGGTTAGGGCTAACCTAATGTCGGATTAGGGTTAGGAAGTTAGGGTTAAGTGGGGAAGTGAGGTATGTGGATACTGCCCCCACCTGGTTAGGTCATGTAGGGTCGACATCAGACCTGACCAGGTTGCTTGAGTGATTGGATGGGGTGGCGAGATACAAAGGAGGCTGATTGGAGTAAGCGAGAGGGAGTAGAGAATGAGAGGTACTCGCACCTGGAATCTGCACTTCAAGAAGACATTGAGTGACTTTTGGGCTTCCCCTCAAGAGGGAGACTTGATCGGAGGCTATCATATCTGCATCAGAGAGCTGCAAGTTGCTACTTTGGTCTTTAGACATCGACGGGGGATCTGGCGTTGCAACAGGGGTGTAGGAAGGCCCTCTTAGTCATGCTAGGACACTTCGTGTAGTGGTAGCTAGGGGTCAGGAGGACTTATGAGAGAGGGGGGTAAGTCGTTATCCATCTTTGGAGGCCGGGCCTCACAGGTAAGTGTCGTGTGACCTGGTTATGCCCGTGGGAGGTTGCTCGGGGGTTCATAGCCTGTTGGGGTGTGTTGGGCTCTCTTCCTCTTCTCTGCGGTCTTGGCTGTGTGTGTGAGCATGTGGATTGCTTTCTCACCTGATGGATGGATGGATGATGTACTTGTTCTAAATGACATATCTTTCTACGGTGCAATGTCTTTTCATTTCTGAATGGCTGTAGGGGTAAGTTCTTGCTGAAAGTTGTCTTTTCCTTTTCAGTACGGTAGAGGCAGTTTGGGACTAACTTGGTACACCTATCTCGTTGGTCCTGGTCCACGACCTACTTGGGACCTTCGGGACTCAGTTGGACCAGGCCCAATGGGACAGGACCTTTTGGGCCCAAATCTGTTGCGGTCAATGCATCTCTTTGCTGTGCTGAACTTGCGGGACATACGGCTAGCAAGGGTATTCCTTTCAAGGGGATCTTGACTGGTCTTACTGCATGTTATCACATACTGCCCCGCGTCTGGCTCGGCGACCGTCTGCACCCCTCGAAATCTCCATTGCTGCAGTTAGTTTTCTTCGACTGATTTATTGTGGTACATGTAGCTTGTCATGTTAGACAAGAGGGGATCTCCAGCTAATCTGATCGGGCCCGTTCGATAAGTCCGTCCTCTCTTCCATTTTATTTATTTATTTATTTATTTTTCTTTTATTCTGCTGCGTGTCATTCTCTAAATCCAAATGAATTGCCGCTCCGGCTAGGAGTTCTACCTTCTACTCTGTGAGATTTACTGTTTGTTTCTTTCATCTGAACTATCTATGTCCGGTATTGAGACGCGTGCGCAGACAGCGGGAAGAGAGAGAAGGGAGAGAGAAGGTGTTCTTTTTGAGAGTGTGAGGAAGGGCAAGAGGAGTGTTCGTCCAAACGTGAGGAGAGAGCGGACCCCTCTTAAGAGATCTACTAACACCCCTTCCTCCGGCGTGGCAGACATCACATCTGCTCAATGGCAAGCCATGCTGGACGCAGCGGACGAGAACGAGAAACCGTTCTTTCAAAAGCTTTATGACGATGCCATACAGAAGGAAAGGGAGGCAGAGGCAGCACCCAGAGCTACAAGCATTGCTGAACAGGTGGCCCTCCTTCAGGTCCCGGAAGCGAATGTTGACCGGTTCCAAGAGAGGCTAGTTGCTGCCGTAACAGCCTTGGTTCGATTGCGGACCTTGGAAGACCTTGATTCCCGCGTGACAACACTGGAGCAGCGGAACCAAGAGCTGCAGGCTGAGATACTCAGCCTCAAACAATCCCAACTGTCTGCCCCTCGTCCTCCTAACCCTCGACCTGCTGCAGTCCCAGTCTCTCAACCTAACACAGTCCTCATGATGAGAGCAAGTGGAACTGTGACGAGCGTAGGAACCGGTGCCAGCTCCTCAAGCGGCAGCGCCGGCAATTCTGCACTAGTCATAGTCCCAAATGCAGGAACTTCAGCCCAAAACGCCACAGTTCTTACTAGCGTACAATACAGCGGTCCCGTAGTGGACAAGCGGGCGACCACTCTGCCGTCCAAGTACGACGGGAAAGGGGACATCACCTCTTGGATTAGCTCCATGCGCTCATACTTCGAGGTACTGCGAACACCGCAGGAAGACCGAAGCATGATCATGGGCACAAATACTGAGCCCGCCGTACGGAGTTTCATAGAACTCCAAGCTGTTACAGCAGGTTATGACAGGATTGACTTGACTGAGTGGCTGAAAGTAACTCTTGTACGCACTCTTGACGACCTTCTCATCAGACGGTACCAAGATAAGCACGTTGCGCTCAAGGCAAGGCTGAAGCTTGAGGCCCTCAAGGGCCAAACATGGAGGACCTCCATGCAGGCTTTGGAACAACACTTGACTGATCTTTTCACCACTCCAAACCTGGGAATGACCGACATGTCTTGCATGGATGTAGTCATGGGAGTGGCCCCTAAAGAATACCTCTCCCTGCAAGGACTCAAATACCATACCACTTGGCGAGAGCTCATGACGGATCTAGTCAACCTAGAGGCCAAGGACCTCGCCAGGCGTACAAAGGCACCCGCTGCAGGTGCCAAATCACAACGCAAGCGGTATGGAAGCAGCAACCAGCTTGCCCTGCATGAACATCGGGAGGCTGAAGATCAGTCCTACGCGGATGATTTGTCTCTAGATGACGATCTAGAGCCGGACTCCGATATGGGCTTTTCTACATCAGCCATTGGGTCTGATGTGAATGAAGATGAAAAACTTAATGCTTTCAAAAAGACTGCTTCAAGCAAGGGGCCTAACCGTGGTTAGGGTAGGGGAACTATAGCACACCTCCCCAAGAATGTGAAGATCCCTGAGAAACCGGAGGATGCTTCTACCAAGCCTTGGGAAGTCCTCCGTATCAGTCAAAAAGAATGGGAAAGAAGGAAACAGGCAAAGGGCGTAGAAGAGTCATCAACACTCTTTACAACGAGGGAAGCTGAAGCGTCAGTTGCAAGCCCCTCCAAGGAGCCTGAATCTGATCAACGGCCTTCCCCTGAAGCCCAGAACGACGCTGAATCCAAGGCTGCTGCAGTTCAAGTATTGTACACTGAGCCTTGGGAGGAGTCTAAGGAAGTTGACTTCCACGCTCACCTAGAACATTGGCTGCAACTCAAGCAGCAACGCCGTGTTTAAGGGAGTGTGGAGCTAACCTTCTTTAAGTTGCTCATTAACCGCCGATACATCCGCGTGTTGATTGATAGTGGTTCAACCCACCAAAGGTTAACAGGGACCCCCACTATTTAGCCCCAAGGTAACACCCCTAACCCTGAAAAGTGCATTGGAGATAAATTTTTTCAGTTTTTTTTTGTTTTTTTTTTTTGCCCTGTTTTATGTTTGGTTAAGGTCTGTGTGTGCCAAGTTTGGTGTTTGTTGGGGTCTTGGAGCTCACTGTTTTCGCCAGCCCTGAAAAATCATGAAAATCCTGAAGACTTAAAATAGTGAATTTTGCATGCAAACGCACTTTTGCCTTGGGGTTTAAGGCCCCTTTGATCAATTTTTTTTAATTTTTTTTTTGTTGTTGGTTTACTTGGTGTCCACTCCAAGTCTGGCGTAAAAGGTATGGGACGTTTGTTATAATGACCCTGAAAAAATCCTGAAAATTTAGGGCTTTGTTAACCTCTTCTCGTTCAACCACCAATATATTTTCTCCTAACAGGATTCGTAAGGCGGGCCTAGGAATGAAGCAAGTGGAGTTGCAGAACCCTTGTCAGACCCAGGTGGGCAACCAAGAGGTTATCACCTCAACACATGCTGTCAAAGGTGTGCGCGTCACTTTTGACAAGGATCGCACCGTCGCACATGAGCTGAACTTTTATGTCATGGTCAAGTGTCCGTTCGACGCGGTCATTGGTTTGGGCTGGTTAAAGGCTCATTGCCTAAGGACCACGTGGGCGGATAATCAGTTTGTGGTGCGTGATGCCAAGGGGAACAAGCGTACCGTTCTATTGGACGAGACGCGCGAGTCCCCCGTGACTCTTTTGAGTGCGAACAAATTCTGCAAGTCAGTGCGCAGGCGCAAGGAAGCTTAGTATGTACATGTAGCTCTTGTAAAGCCTCTCCATGTGCCTTTTACTTTTGCTGCATTTTCTACCTCGGAAAGTAAATCTACTTCCACCACCCCTACTTCTTTTCCATCTACTTCTACTTGTGAATAATCACTCTACTTCTGATCCAAGTACTTCGAATCCAGTTGTAATTGCTGTAAATTCTCGATCTGATTTTCTTTCTCCTGATGAGGATGATCCTCCACCGGAAGTCCCAACAAACATTCGTCGTCTATTAGATCGATTCCCTGAAGTTCTGGCCGAACCTCGTGGAGTTCCTGAGCGTCCGGTCAAACACAAGATCGAGATAATAGAAGGGAGTGTTCCTCCAAAGGGCTGCGTCTATCGTATGGGACAAGGCGAGTTGGAGGAGTTGAGGAGACAAATTGATGACATGATCGATCGTGGATGGATTAGGCCTAGTGAGTCTGAGTTCGGTGCACCTATCTTGTTTGTACCAAAGAAAGGAGGCAAACTCCGGATGTGTATTGACTATCGTGGCCTGAATCGGATCACCAGAAAGAATGCTTACACTTTACCTCGCATAGATGATCTGCTAGATGCGGCAGGTGGGTGCAAGCTCTTCTCCAAGATCGACCTCAAGTCTGGTTACCACTAGATTGAAGTTGATCCGAGTGACCAGCACAAAACTGCATTCAAAACACGCGATGGGCTGTACGAATTCATCGCTATGCCCTTCGGTCTTACGAATGCACCAGCCACATTTCAGTGCCTCATGGATAAGGTTCTCCGCCATCAGCTTAACAGGTTTGTTGTTGTTTACCTCGATGACAACCTGATTTTCAGCAAGTCCATGGAAGAGCACGTCAAGCACCTTGAGGAGGTTTTGCAGGTCCTCAAGGAAGCGCAACTGCACCTCAACTTAGAGAAATATGAGTTTGGAAGGGACAGCGTCATCTATCTTGGGCACCGGTTGTCTGCAAACGGCCTTGAGCCGGAGGCAACCAAGGTTAAGGTCATACGAAAGTGGCCTCAACCGACAAACGTACGTGAACTGCGTTTTTTTCTGGGTTTGGCCTCGTATTATCGGAAGTTTGTGCCCAAATTTTATGTCATTGGTCACCCACTCTCGAGACTAACAAGCAAGAATGTTGGCTATGCGTGGTGTGAGAAATGTGAGACTGCGTTCCAAGCCTTGAAAGAGGCATTGGTGAGTCATCCTGTGCTCCGCATTGCGGATCCCAACCTCACATTCGTAGTCACTATAGATGCAAGCCAGTTTGGGATTGGTGCAGTGCTGCAACAAGATGATGGTATTGGGCTGCGTCCGCTCGAGTATTACAGCAAACGCATGCCCAACCACAAGGTAGTTACCTCCACATATATGTGTGAGCTCTATGCCTTGTGCGAGGTGCTCACACATTGGAAGCACTACCTCTTGGGTCAGCACTTCAAGGTTTACTCAGATCACCAAACCTTGCAGTGGATTAAGACACAAACTGATCTCTCTCCTACACTGACCCGCTGGTTGCATGACATTGATGTCTATAACTTTGAGTTGAAACACAAGAAAGGTTGTTATAACCGAGTTGTTGATGCTCTGTTCCGCCATCCTGAGTTTTTGACTTGCCTTGTGGGTTCGTATGACCTCCGAAGGAAACTGAAGGAGGATCTAGCCGAACACACCGCCAAGGATCCGGACCTTAGTCCCATTCTTGAGTAGCTCAAGGCTGACCCTAACAGTCAGCCTGATTTTCATGAGTGCGAGGGTCTTGTATTCCGTCGGTATGATCGTTTGTGTGTACCCAACCATGCGCCTCTCGGACTTAGTTCTTGGATTTGGCATATGGTCGGAGTGGACATTTCGGCTTTGAGAAGACTTATGAAAGTCTTCCGCAGCAGTTTGATTGGCCGGGAATGAAAGGATCTGCTCATAAATTTATTGTTGAATGTCAAGTTTGTCAAAGGACCAAGGTCCATAGGCATAAGCCTTATGGCCTGCTGAAACCCCTCCCCATTCCTGATGGACCCGGTGAGTCGATTTCCATCGACTTCACGGACATGGGAAAGGTGAGTGGGGCAAGGAATTCACAAGTCATGGTCATCGTAGACCGTTTTTCAAAATTTCTGAACTTGATTCCTTTCCCTCCCCATGCCCCAACTGAGCTTGTCATTGAAGAATTTCATTTGCAGTATATTCCGTAGTATGGCCACCCGAAAACTATTGTGAGTGATTGGGACACCAGATTTATTAGCAAAGATTGGAAGGACTTCACTTCTCAGATCTACGACATTAAACTCAACAAGACTTCTGGTCGACGCCCCGAAGCCAATGGATTGGCTGAGGAAATCAACCAGACTGTCATCCAACTACTTCGCGCGTTAAGTGTTCTAGATCAGAACACGTGGGACAAGGAGTTACACAAAGTGAAGGGGTTGTAAAACAACTCCATTCACTCTGCAACGGGTGTGACACTGAATCGGCTGCAATACGGATGGCAGCTGCGCAATCCTCTCTCCTATCTGTTCCCCGAACGGTCACCTGGTCTGACGCCCGGCATGCCTTGCTACAATGCCAAGTATGCATGCTTGCTCAAAGCTGCTATCGCAGCAATGAACAAGCGTCAGCATGCCATGATCAAACATGTTATAAGTCGCACAAAGAAGGGACCTTCGAAGTAGGAAGCTATGTCTGGGTTAAAATGTCCGAGTTTCCTGACGAAGAGGGCGTATCACGAAAGCTTCTTCCATTGTACTATGGTCCTTGGCAGGTTCTGAAGGTGATTGGGGATGATGTTGGTCCTTCGTATGTGATTGACGTGCCTCCTCATCTGCGCACGTATCCGGTCTTTCACGCATCCAAATTGTTTCCACACATTGATGATGAGACTTTTCCCTTTCGAGATCCTATGATGCCTCGTCCTATCGATGGCAGTCATGAGATAGACAGAATTGTTTCCCACGAGGGAAGAGGGAGGAACAGACAGTACAAGGTTCACTTTCTCTATCGCCCGTTGACCGAATTCTTCTTGATCGACCGAAAAGAGCTGTTAAAGAATGTTCCCCGTGTTGTGAACGCTTATGAACGACAGATCGCTGATGGACAGACTGCTAAGTTTTCTGCAAAACTCACTCCCTACGGTCTTACTAAATCCCTCTTTTTTATCTACGCCTACGATGCATTCTATGCCGACTCTGAATGAGTTACTCGCTCGAAGGGACTTCGCTCTTGAGAGGGGGGTAGTGTAATGGCCCGCCAAAAACACAGACTGAGAACACTACTGATTTCTGGGATTTGCCACTGGAATGAATGCCTTGCTGTGATTTCTGCATTCTGCTGTGGTTTCCAAGTCTGTGTGTGTGTGCGTGCGTGCTGGTTTGCATGCCTGTCTGAGTGGTTGTCGATTGAGTGTGTGTGTGACCCGCAAGGGTACTTGTTGGTTGCAAGGCCCCGCAGGGCCGGTATTTACCTGTGGCCGTGACTTTGAGGGTTGCAGGGGGGTAAACACTCAAGTAGGGGGGGTAGGGCCACGACACTTCGAGCAGCGGGGAAAAACACTCAAGTAGCAGGTAGGCCGGTACCACTCGAGTAGTGGTAGGAGTGTCGGGTACTGGAGGCCGAGCAGAAGAAGACA